AAATAGGTGTAATTTTAAAGGGGTCATCAGCTGCAGAATTCACTTTCATATGGTGTTTGCATATAAATCTGTCTTTGCAGTGTGAGGACAACCACCATACAATAAAAAAATCCATTCACTTTTTTTAATCCTCAAAGTCTAAACAAATCTCAATCAAGCCGTTTGGATTTTCTGAGCAATATGATGTCATATTGCTCATGCTCTGCCCACGACCACTGACGGACTGTCCCGTATTAGCATATATCCGCCGCAGACATTTGTATACCGCCCACCAAGGCAGGTTGCCTAGGCAGCACTTTATGTGTCTTGTGTGACACACCCCCCATGGAAGAGAGGGGTGAGGTGAGCAGTTGCTCATTATCATTTAAAGAGACACGCACCGAAACGAGTCGCTGTGAACAAAGCGGTTTTTGAGGTAAAAAGGGTGTTGTTTTACACAACCATTGAGGAATGTTAATCAATGTATGTAACAAACTTTACATGAACACCCTAAAGAATCACACCAACTTGTGGAAAATGGGCATCCAATGACCTCTTTAAAGCTTAGCCATACAGTGATTATAGGGAATATGACCATCACGTATAACAAGTGCTTTTAAATTTGCTGACATATTAGAATTGCTCTATTTTCATAGCGTGAAAAAAATAACTGCTTTACATGAAAATGTGATCTGTAAAATCACAGTACATAACAGATAGCCTTGTGTCATATCATTGAAAAGGCTTAGCAGAATACAAGCATATTTGTTTTAGTTAAAGTCCAAACTATACCAGTTATGTTTATGAAAAAGTGCCACGGTCAGTCTTGATTTACCACACGCCATAGAATAGGAGCGCACAGCAGAAACAGAGCTGGAAGATCATCACTCATCAACCAGGATCTTATTACTTGTTTATTCTATGTAGTTTTATTGTGCCCTTTACACAAGTAGTTCTTATGTACAGTAAAATAACTTGGTTTTTTTTGGAACCTTAGTTAATTATGGTTCAAAATGAACGGCTAGCCCACCTAATGCATTGCATGGCTTGAAGACATTAGGTGTGTTCGACTTAAAGCAGCGCTGTGCAGACTGACCGGTGTATTGCTCGCGGTACTTTGATGTTATACACTGGTCGGTCTGTGTGTCTGTATGTGCGTCACACGTGTATATGTATATATATATATATATATATATATATATATATATATATATATATATATATATGGCTGGGTATTGACACAAATTTCACAATTCGATTCGATTTACAACCTTGCAATTCGATTCATCAATATTGATTATTTTGGATATCAGGTACAATACATAGCAAATTTTCTTGAGGAAAACGAATCTCTTAACTAATGCTGAAACTATGGGAGTCAGTTGTAGCCTACTAGGCTTCATTAGCCTACTATAATATTGAAGGTAAAAATTTACTGATTTGTATACAAACACTTAAATTACACATTTATTTTTATAATAAAGTTATATGAAATAAACATTTAAATCGTGGCAGTCATAAAAACTAGCCAGATTTATTCAAACATGCATTAAATATTGAAGAACATTAAAAATGATAATGAATATGTGATATGGTGCATTTATTCAGCAAAATGCTCCTCTCTAGAGTTAATTTTTCTAGCTGACTATCGAGTCCATGGTCACTGGATATGGTTTTTCTGAGGTAAATGTGGCGTTACATGAGATTGTTTACAAGTGGTTTTACTGACGTCTTTCCACGGTTAAAACACTGAGCGATTCCATGATGTGACATGATACGGATTTCGATAAGTTGTACTTATCTTTTGACACACTTTCAGATGGTATTATTAAGGCGGAAGAGAAGATCATGTGCTGCTGCTTCTCTTAATCTGCGCCAGAGCGATCTCACGCCACAGCGCCAAAAACGGTATTTATGTTTTTGAATTTCGTAAGAAAATGGACGTAATTTCAAATCTGAGACTTCGTTTCATATCAATAGTAACAAAGCAAAGATTATTGCGATTTATTGGATGGGATGCACGCTACAATGTTCCATTTATTCATCAACTGAAAACAGGATGACTAGCCTAATCGATTCTTGGGATTTAAGTATCGATATCGGTTCGTAAAAATGAGAATCCATTAAAATAGAGAAATCAATATTTTTTACCCAGCCCTAATAGGCGACAGCCCTATTCAAGTTATTGTTCTGTTACAGCATACAAATTATATATAAAATTTGTATGCTGTAAACAACAGAACAATAACTTGAATTATTATTTAAGGCTACACATTTAGAGGTTCACATTAACTTAATTTTTTTTATATATTATTCATAACAGTCCATTTGGAAAAGGTTATGCTGTCAATTAGCAGACAGGATTTGTAGGGTTTGTGAAATCCAGTTTGTACTTATATACAACGTCAAAGTATGAGCACGTTACACAACACCTGTCACGTGAGTAGCCAACATGTTTCAAAACACGAGACGAAGGATATAACAGATGAATTTATTAAACTACTTTTAAGAACTTTGCAACATTTCAAATCAACAAGCTCTTCAGAAGACAGTGGAGTCCAACACATTTAAATGTGTGACCGCTATAAAAAAATTAATATTAGAAAAAATAAAATAACCATCTAGACAAAAATGCCCCAAGCAATAAAAGCTAAAGTACATATGCAAATATACCAAACGAAGACTATCCTACTCTAAACTTACAAGTAGCATTTATGCACTCAGCTTGAAAGCTAAAAATACTCGAGCAAAGCTTCAGCCTCCCTCACAGTGTCACATGTAGCCAGTCGACTTGAGTTTCACATATCACATCTAAAGAATACGCCATATTAATCACTGCATAAGAGAGCAACACTTAAACCAGACTTAGATAAGCTGACATTCACTATTTTATCCAATTGTTACAGACGGCTTGGGTGTAGGCCGAAAGTTGTAATTTTATTCCTGTAATCCAATTTACTGACATCATCAGAAGTGTGACTCAACTTCCACTCTAATTTGAATACGGAGAGTCTTGGCCTTTGTTGAATTTTTGGATCGAGTTGCATTTGCTTTATTATACCAAACATGAACCGCGCGACACGAGGGTCTCCTCAGATCTGAAACAGCGCAGACAAATCAATGCATTTTATTAACAAATATCATCCACCTGACCAACCTGTTGTATCTGCAACTGTTCACGATCCTTTCATCCAAAAGGTGAGAACCCAAACCAAGTCATTCAACTCAAAACATTTGCTTTTCAGATCAGTGGACACTCAACTGGGCTTTTCGAAGATGTGGCAACCATGATTACACTCATTCATGATAGATTCCAATGGCATTAACAAATCACAAATCTCAAAGACACAGATTCACTGCTTTGCAATGTGGAAAACAGCGTCTAACTAAAACTGCACGCTACAATGTTCCATTTATTCATCAACTGAAAACAGGATGACTAGCCTAATCGATTCTTGGGATTTAAGTATCGATATCGGTTCGTAAAAATGAGAATCCATTAAAATAGAGAAATCAATATTTTTTACCCAGCCCTAATAGGCGACAGCCCTATTCAAGTTATTGTTCTGTTACAGCATACAAATTATATATAAAATTTGTATGCTGTAAACAACAGAACAATAACTTGAATTATTATTTAAGGCTACACATTTAGAGGTTCACATTAACTTAATTTTTTTTATATATTATTCATAACAGTCCATTTCAAATCAATGCATTTTATTAACAAATATCATCCACCTGACCAACCTGTTGTATCTGCAACTGTTCACGATCCTTTCATCCAAAAGGTGAGAACCCAAACCAAGTCATTCAACTCAAAACATTTGCTTTTCAGATCAGTGGACACTCAACTGGGCTTTTCGAAGATGTGGCAACCATGATTACACTCATTCATGATAGATTCCAATGGCATTAACAAATCACAAATCTCAAAGACACAGATTCACTGCTTTGCAATGTGGAAAACAGCGTCTAACTAAAACTGGTGAGTTCAAATTACACTTAAAACTGCTGAATACAAATTAATAGCAGGGCTGGTTTAAAATAGAAACAATTGCTTCGGGCTCATAGGCTGAAAGCAGCATCTTTCATATCTTATCCAAACTTCTACAGCTTACATTAAGCACTAGTTTCTGGTTTAAACTAGGACTTTTATTTTCAACAAACAAATGTTATCAAGGCAACATCATACGTTCAGTTAAACCCTGGATGCCTTGCACTACTTTATCTTTTTGTTGTTGTTGAGTAGATAAGCTTGTTGTAAAAATGGCCAACACACATTAAAAACAAGATCAATTAAATTAAAAATGAATAGGAATTAACGGGTTTAATCCCACTGTGACAAATGTCTATTTTATTAGAAAATTGACTAATGAACTAAAATATGAAGACTGATTTTTATACATATAAATAAATCAGACTGAACCAGTACATTTCGTATTAAGTTACATTTAAGATTTCATTATTGAAAAATAAAAAAAGGGCCAAATAAAAACAAAAAAAAAGTTTAAATCAGTGGTTCTCAACCTTTTGGATTCCTTTTTCATGATCTTTAACTTATCAATTAAGTCATCTTGTGGTCCCTTGCTGGGCCCCTGGTTGAGAGCCAACATAACTAGAAAAAAAATGTCTATTCATTTTTGGAATTTCCATGGCTTTCCCAGACCTGGAAATAGCAATTCTACAATTCTCAGACATTTCCAGGTTTTTCAGTTGCTTTAAACCAAACTAGGCTGTCTGACACCAGACCAACACACATATAACAAGTTATATATTTTTTTAATTACCTGCTGTGGGTTTAATTAATGGTTTCGTTAGTGTAGGAAGTGCTTAATAAGAAAGGCAACGACAGCAAATGACAGTTCGCTACAGCAAAGTTCCTGGTCGCTTTAAGGGGAATTTGTTCAGCTGAGAGGGTGATTTGCTGTCAGGCAGAGAAATAACTGTCGCCTGCTGCTCACTGTTAGCCTGTTAGCAATGTTTATCCAGCCTCGCGTTGCGGTCGACGCGCGTCTTACCTTGTTGCTCTGGTAGTCTTCAAATGCTCGCAGCGCGCTGTCAGTCAGCTTGACGTGATAGACGGAGATGTTGCTGCCATTGCTCACTCTTCCACAGGACAGTCCGTAGCACTGCTCCTCCTTTAACGCCGCCATCTTGCTCGCATTTCCCACCACGCTCACGCGCCTCTGCCGTGAACGCAACAAGCAGCTCGAGTGAGGGAAGGGTATGGATTATTCATGAGGCGTGAATTACGTACAGGCGGGAGGGGGCGTGGCTTCGGGGTAATCATAAGAGGGATGGCCAGTGATGGGAAGTCTGGCTCATTTCCGCGATTCGGTTCTTTCGAGCAAACGATTCGAAAACGGTTCTGCTGTTTTTTTTACGTCATCACTGATATATCACTAGCTCTAAAAACGCAACACATTTGTATCTGTTTATCTTTTCGTCGCGTTTGTTTTGTTGTTTCCATGTCTGTCTGTATTGCCTTGTGCTTTGATATTTTGTACGGTTTAATAAAAAAAAAAAAAACAAGCTCTAAAAACCACAGGAACTGCTGTTAATAACAATTGCGTTTTATTATTAAGGGCGTTCATAGTGTCTCGATACAGATTTTTCCTGGGATTAAGACTTTTTTAGATCTTGTTTAGATCCTAAATATAATTTGCATAATAGGCTACACAAAACTGAAATGAATTTACATTTCTGAGTTGAAAAGTCGCTGTTATGCACGGTAATTAAACAGACAAGACATAAACATAATTTAAGCATAGTTGGCGTTGTAACATCATTTTTACTTTTTAGCTATTATAGTACTTTGAGTGAGTGGATTTGAGTAAGAATTATTGACTCGAGATCCACTTAGACCGATTCAGTCCAATTAATGAACGAATCATTGCGAAACGTTTCACTGAAAAGATCCGACTCGAACGAAAAATTCTTTCATGCACTGGACATCGCTAGAAATGACAGATGAATGGCGTCATTAGAAAGAGCTTTGAAGCACTATTTTGTCCTTATTTTCCGAATATGTATCAACAATAAGACAAACGTATATGTTTAGCAATTTTAATTTGACCATGTTTGGCAGTGTTTTTGTATACTGGAAAACTCTTGGTTGGGGGTGGGGGAAGGTTTTGGATTGAACGCTTCTCACTCAGAATTGCGTCAGAAAAACGTCAATGTCTGGAAAAAAACCCCCATGAATAGGGAATGCCCCACATGACTACAACGAAAGGGATGAGGATGTTATGCACTTTAAATACATTCTCCATTTCATCGGAACGCACGTGTGAAATAGAATGTTCATTAACGTTCACATCGAATCCATACGTCATACATGTGTATTATAGTAGTTAGTTAATAATACAGCGCGTGCTAATAACCATTGTATTGTTATTATATTATTGTTCACTTTTGTTACCTTTCAACCAAAAATATTTTCAGCAGATGCAAATCTAGAATTCATAGAAACATTTTCAAGAAATCACTTTATTTTCAACCATATGAACAGAGAGTGCAAAAGTATTTTAGGATTTACAAAACAACTTTAAGGGGAATGCTGGAAGTTACCAATACTACAAAAAAATTGGAATGGGAACTGAGACAATCAGCGTAAGGATCAATGAAAAAAATTATGACAACACATAAATATCCTAAATAAATAATTCAAATTAAATGCACAGAATTCTTGTAGAAGCTTAAAAATATAAACCGAAAAGGTCCGTATGACCTTCTTTGCAGTGTTTGGTCACAAAAATATGGAAACATTATTGAGAATCAGACAGTTGATTTTACTTCTTTAACAGGGATATTTTGGAGCCTATAAATGGGAAGAAAGTGTGAAAACGTACCACATCAGTGCAAGGACTATTAAAATAGTGTTGTCTTTCTTTTGCATCAGAAGCTAAAGATACCTGTAGATACTGCAAAAGAAAAGGCATACAATCATATTCTTGAATGTTCAAGACTGTTCACAGGCAAGTTTCAGTTCACCAAAATAAGATTACGGAACTTCACAAAAAAATGTTTGTAGTCTGGAGTTCTAAAGCAAAACACAACTGTGTCCAACAACCTGAAGAGCATCATTCTGTACAGCAATACATTTATTTATTATAACTAGGATCCTTTCTGTACATAAATAGGAATAATATAATATCTCTCATTTCTATTTCTTCCCAGCTGATCTTTCATGCATTGAAAGTAAAAAGTGAACCATTTAAAACCTCTAAAGCACGATGGAGGGCAACAGAAATTACAACCAGTTCACTTTCAATTATATTTTATAAAAGGTCAGTAAGGTGTTTTGAGGGCTTGGCATGCTCAAAGTCTTGAGCACCACGTCATCCATCATGTCACAGTAAATTTCGGTTAATTTCTAGCTGCGATGACAACCGACAAAGCTACACCTCCAATCGCGACGGCGGTAGCCCCAAAAAGCCACTTCCAGCTGAGACTCTGTAAAAAGATAAATACTTGATTAAAAGAAATATTTATTACAAAATAAAAATGGTCATTATTTACTCACCATGTGGTTTTAAACCTGTTTATTTTACTCTCCCTTCTCAAGTCATTTGAAAGCGTTGTGTGATGAACAAATCAAAATTGAATATTTTATTCGCTGATCATTTTCTGCTCCAGTGAGGTTTGAGTCATTGAGGTAAACTGGAGAATCAGATTAATTCGATTCGTCAATAAAATATTCAGGCCGATTTGTGAACCGGATTAGCAAGATAACTGAAAATAAACACCTCAAATGAATTATTTGTACGGAGCCCCTAATAGGACAAGGTGAAAGGAAAAAATTTAGTTGGGATTAGATTAGATTAAATGTATATTTTATACATTTTTCATTCTCTCACAAATCTTTTGCATTCCCCCCGCTAAACTGTAATAGAAATAATAAGATTGGAGGGAAAACGATTTCAAAGCTTTTGCGAGAGAACTTAATTTCTCTGGGGAACGCAACACTTTTTCAAGAGAACGCAAAGTTTCTCTAAATAACGCCATACTTTTGCTATTGAACGCAACGTTTCTCTGGGGAAAGCAACACTTTTGCAAGAGAATGCAAAGTTCTTGGGGAAATGCAATACTTTTGCGAGGACACAAAAGTGTTGTGAGCAAACGCAAAAGCATTTAAACATAATTTTCCCTCCCATCTCATTTATTTCAATTAGGAGCTGGCAAATTAATTCATAAATCTGACTAATCTGTTTATACTCACTCACAATCTCAATGATCCATTCAAGTTTATAAAATTTCCCTTCCATGCTCAATGTTAAGAATAGCCACGTACAAGTTTGGAACAACATGAGGGTGATAAAATAATGGCCGATTTTTTTTATATATATAAACTATCCCTTTAAGGCATGAACGTGCACTTTGTCATTTGTAAACTCCACTTCCTGTTGAGAGTAAACATATGCGACATCATAACAAAATCAACAAACAGTGCATAGTGTTAAATAGTTTAAATAGGGGCAGTTCATGCTCTCACCCATGAGGACTTGGCACGGTGCTTCTGCACACTGGCGTTTGACGGGTTGCCCAGCATCTTTTTATACATGGCCTGTTCGGCTCCTTTCTCCTCAGAGTGTTTCTTCACAAGCTTCGACAGCTCAGCGTGGATGGTCTGCCGAGGAAAGGACAGAGAGAATGAATAGTGTGTGTGTGGGGGTATCGCCAGGCTGATGGAACTTGCTCACTGCAGCACACCAACACATTTGGGCGGTACGCAAATGATTAAACATGACAATGCTGTTGGAGATTGAGTAAAAGCCTACACAAAAGACAAGAGATAAACCAATTCAAGATTAAAACCGCATTCATATGCTTCCAAAAATCAGCTGCAATGCCACAGAAGACAAAAGCAGAAGTGAAAACATCTTGTACTGAAGAAACGTCCCTTTATATGGATGGGTCACACACATTTGCATTATCAGTTTGCTCTTATATGACCTTTTAATTGGCCATGGCTGAGTGAAGAGGTTTAGATCTACTCCAATGACTGTGCAGGCAATATATGCGAATGCAATTTTGAAAAACAGAATAGGTTCTTAAATTTGTTATATTCAGTTTATAGACTATTAGTTTACCAAATAATTAGGAGTCATCACTCCAAATGTAAGGTGATTCGTTTACAAATGGATTCTCTTCAAGTGAATCTGAATCGACTGGTTTAAAAAAAAAAAAAAAATTGTTTTAAAGAATGATTCATTTGCAAACGAAATCGTTCAATTCCCTGATGCACACTTAAAAATTGGCATTATGCTAAAGAAACACTGCTAAATCAAAGCAGTAACCTACAAACATCAAAACGACAGTTCAAAACATGACGTTAAACAATTATTGCTAATTAGCAAGGACTGTGAATGGCACCTAAAATGTAGACTTTCAGGAGCCGCCCAAGTCAAATAAACCACGACAGCCTACCAATTAGTTTAATTAGTGCTAAAGTTGAATTACTGGCTAATGACTAAAACAAGTAGGGTAAAGGCAAACTGACGAGATGGGATCAGAGTGGATTAAGGAATTCTGTTTTGTAAAGGCCAGTCACATGAGAAGAGAGGGGTGTAAATGTGCAGACGTAGGTGGCTTGGCAGTGGCAGGCTGGTCATACAGCAGAAAGCCGTGGCAGTCAGGAGCTGTCAGATGGTGGGACACAGGGAACCTCATCCGTCCGCCTGTGTAAGCAGAGCAGGCCAACACTGCTTTAGATATGGCAAGTGTGCAGAGGGACCCGGTTATTTATAGACACGGAAAGAAATGCGATCCTAGGAGTTTTTGAACACTCTGTACTGTGTGCAGACAGGCTATATTTGGGGTCTGTGGTTCCATCTGCAGGTTATAATGAGAAATGCACGTTTCTGGACCTGTTAAACAAGTACCGGTTGTTCTCAACAGATTCCAATTTTCAATAAAACACTATTTACCAGAATATATTCAATGAAAAATTAAATGAAATAAACAAAAATCGTAAAATAAAATAGTAGTTCTCAACAGATACCAATTTTAATAGCACAATTTATGATATGTATAAAATACAGAAAAAAAAGTTAGATAAAATAAAACAGAAAAAAAAGAAAAGAAAAAAGATGTAATATAAAAATACAATAAAATAAGATATAAAATATAATATTTCTCAAAAGATACAAATTTCCAATAAAAACTATTTCTTTCAATGAATAAGATAAGATTTAAAAAAAAAAAAAAAAAAAAAATTAAACAAACAAATAACATTAAATAAAATATAAAATAAAACTATTATCAACTGCGATAGATTTAGTGAAATCGGTTCTGTTAAATTGTCCCTTGTGTTACCTTGTTACTTGGCTCCAACTTCAAGGCCCTTTTCAGTGTTTTAATGGCTTCAGCAAACTTGCCCTGCAGAGCCAGTACCTGCACACACAAACACATGTCACATGTCAGCACTTTTTAATCTCAACACATCTCAAGCTGTTCTTTTTTTCCCCTCTGCCGTGGCCAGAAACCTGAATGGAACCAAACGACCGAACAACTCGCTTTCGCTGTGTCCAAAACCAGGAGTGCATTACTATTTAATGAGAGTGAGTGAAAATGATACGCATCTGAACCCAGGAAACCAACCTTGCCTTTGCGGAACAGGGCTTTGACATTGTCTGGCTGGTGCGCCAGGACGGAGACGCAGGAGCGCAGTGCGGCTTCATAGTGGTCTAGCTTGAGTTGAGCAGCGGCCATATTGTTGAGACATCTCACCTTCATGTCCAAAAGTTCTTCCTCTTCTTGTTGAGTGATATCCACTAAAAGATACCAAATGATTGCAGACGTAACCATGAAATGATGTATTTAGAAATAAACTAAATGAATCATGAATGAAGCAGTATCACCTCTGAAACTGGCTTCAGTTATCTGTAGTGCGATTCCATATGAGTTGACGGCAAAGGCGTAGTCGGCGCGCTGGTAGTGGACGTTTCCTCGCTCTCGCTTTCTGTTGGCCAAACTGATTCTCTCCGAGGGCGGCATGAGCTCCAGGTCTGGGGCGTCATCTGCCGACAACAGCTGCACCTCCAGGATGAGATCAGCATCAGGAGGCACGGCAGGAGTAGAGCTGACGGAACAGAGGAACGCAGAGGATGTTCAACGTGAAGAATATTGCCACGATGTCACATACAGTAGCAATCAAAATTATTCAACCCCCTTGACCTGCAAGACATTTTGCTGCTAAAAACAAACTTTTATGAAAATAAGGCATCAGTAAACTATTATAGAAAGTTTATTAATACACATTTGAGTGATTCTGAGAACGTTAAGTTGATGAGAAATAAAAAAATAAAAAAATCGAATTGGCTCTAAATTATTCAACCCGAATCGAATTGGTTCAAAATTATTCAACCCCCAAAAGTCTAGTTTTGTGCAGAATCTTTTATTCTTTATAACCTCCAATAAACTCTTCTAAGTGCTTAGAAGCTTCTGTCACCTCTACTGCAATCGTGGCCCATTCCTCGCTTGGAAAAGCTTCCAGTTCACTGATAATCTTTGGTTTTCATGTTACAACTGCTTTCCTCAAATATTTTCAATCAGATTTAAATCTGAAGACAGCACAGGCCAAGCTAAAGTAGATTTGGATGCATACTTCGGGATGGCTGTCCTGCAGGGAAGTCCATTGCTCATCAAGCTTCAGTCTCTGCACTGAAGGCATCACCATCTTTTCCAAACTGGCTTGATACTTCAAAGAATTCAAGATGTCCTTCATACAGTCAAGATTTCCACTTCCTGCAACACCAAACCGCCCCCATAACAAGACTTAACCGCTTTCATGTTTGACCATGAGTTCTTCTGCTCATAAGTTCCAGTTTGGTCACATCTCTCCATAAAACATTCTTCCAGAACTCCACAGGTCTATCCAAATGCATTTTAGGATATTCAAGTCGGCCTTTTATGTTCTTCTAGGTCAAGAGTGGCATTCAGCAAGATGTCCCAACATGAAGGTCATGCTTGTCTAGTGTTCTTCTTCTACTCTGCATTGAACTGTTTTTTTCATCAGCTCTTCTTGCAAGTCTTTGGCAGTAAATTGAGGGTTTTTCTCATTTGCTCTGATCAAACATTTTATTCCCCTTAACACAAATGAAGATATTTTTGATTAAATCTGAGAGGTGGATCACTGCTAAATAGGCTTCCTAAGGGAGTGAAACTTGACGGCCCAGAAAGTCATTAAAGAAAATGTTTAAATATTCCATGTGCCTACAGTGGCTCAACTATAAGTTTATCAAGCGACGAGTTTATCATGCGTTCAGGAAATCTCTTGAACTCTCGTCTCAGGCCCACAAGGAAGTAAAGGAATAGTCGAATAAAGTCGTTATTTATGGGGTTTTTTCGCACAAAAAGTATTCTCGTCGCTTGATAAACTTATAGTTGAGCCACTGTAGGCACATGGACTATTTAAACATTTTCTTTAATGACTTTCTGGGCCGTCAAGTTTCACTCCCTTAGGAAGCCTATTTAGCAGTGATCCACCTCTCAGATTTAATCAGAAAATATCTTCATTTGTGTTCCGAAGATGAACGAAGGTCTTACGGGGTTGGTACAGCATGAGGGTGAGTAATTAATGACTTAATTTTCATTTTTGGGTGAACTAACCCTTTAAAGGGGTCATATAATGCCATTTTTGTACAAGCTAATATGATTCTTTAGGGTCTAAATTAAAAGTTTGTAATATACTTTAATTAAAAATTCTCATTAGTATTGTAAGAAAACACTTATTTTACCTGGTCAAAAACAGCTCTGTTTTCAGCACGCCGTTTCAGTGCATATGACTTTAAATGATAATGAGCTTTGCTCACCCCGCCTCTCTGTTCTGCGCATACACCGTTTGTAACACAATAACACAATAACCATAACGCGTTGTTCATTACAAACGTGGGATTATGAATTATATTGAGAACGTTGTACATAGAAAACATGCTGTAAAGTACCCTGAGTGTAAACCGACGCATTCATTGTGAAGCGTGCAGCTAGCGATTTGCAAAGATTAATAAATATTAATATAAAGATTAATAAAACGTTACACTCACTTTAGTTCTTCTGAAGGTTCAGCAGGAACACGAATAGGTTCCGATCCTTTATTCAGGTGCAGCTTCTCAGCAAAACCAGCTTTACACTGATCCTCGTTTATAAAGCAGTCCACTGAGAAATTATGCGGCAAACATGAGAGCATTGACGTTGCTCGTGGGGAATATTCCCTTCGAAAACAAACTCAGCCACTGCGTCTTCAGCGGTTCGGATTTAGGAACATTAAAATGACTGCTGTGTTCGTTATTACACCCAAGAACAGAACACCACAATCGCTTAGGCGCCATTCTGCTCATAGACAGTGCTCCAGCATATCAACAATGACCGCGCCGGTCCGCGCGGACTATGATTGACAGGACGAGCGAGGGCGGGTCTGTGTTAAATCACTGCTGTCAATCAACAATCACGGGAGGGGCGTCCGTTTTATTGACGTCACAAAAACGAACGGCTCAATTTGAGGCAGGGGAAAACATATAAGGAGATTAAAACAAAAACACTGGATGGATTTGTATCATTATATGATGGTTGTGTACAGGCACTGCCAACACACATTTCAGTACAATCAACTTGTAAAAGTGCATGTACCATTATATGACCCCTTTAATGATATTGTGATTTTTCTTTAACACCCTCAAAGGTTTTCTGGTACAACAAATTGTAAACTTATGTTATGAATAAGTCTGCCAGCTGTGTCTCTAGGAACGTTTAGTGTTTTGGAAATCTTGTAGTCATAGACTTTGTAATGAAATAAAACAATTTGTTCTATAGCTTTTGTGAGAGCTCTTCTGACTTGGCCATATTTGCTACTCAACTTTAGCACATCCACGGGCTAAATGCATGTACAACAGCACAAGCTAATTCAGTTTTGTTATAGTTTCCAAAGGCTTAATTGAGTTTTTACACAATTTTGTACCATACCATACAAATAAGTGACTTAAAAACAGCAGCGTTGAATAGGGGTTGAATAATTATGACCAATGTTCCCTCTAAGCCGCGCACTTCTGAAGCGGCGGCCGCGCAGAAAAGAATAAAATGCCACACAGAGGACTGACGCGAAATGTGTGGGGAAATCCATTTGATTGTAGTTTAAGTGAGAAATAATTGCAGTGCTCTGGTCAACCGCTATAGAGTGAAAACAGGTGAATGCAGTTTACAGGTTTCATAGAAAGAGAACGATGTGAGCGCGTGTGATTGGCAGTGAGTCGTGTGTGCGGACCAAATAGCTCAATACGAGAGGCAACGAGAAACGCATAGACATGTAAAATAAAATCACATCATAATGTTTTAAAGAAGAGTGGTTTGATTAAAGTGGTGGAAATAACGGTTGATGGACACAGAACGGTAACAATTACACACCCACCCGCGTGCAAATTCAAAATACATCATTAGTTTAAATAGATGTTTTTGTGTGTGGGGGAGTTTCAGGGATGGTTCGATTATAAAAGAGTTCACATTCACTTTTCTTGAAAATATTTAGCCATTAGATCTATTTAAATGCTTCAGTTTGTTTTCATATTATAATAATATAATATGTAAACAAATTGAAGCATTTTAAACTGATATATTATATCACTTCAAATACTTCAATTCGGGTTTTTTTATTTATATTATATTAGGCCTATATTTTATTATATTATGAGCCTAAATAAAGAATCTCACAAGGGTATTGTTTAGGTTATAATTAGGCCTATATTTTATTATATTATAAGCCTAAATAAAGAATCTCACAAGGGTATTGTTTAGGTTATAATTAGGCCTATATTTTATTATATTATAAGCCTAAATAAAGAATCTCACAAGGGTATTGTTTAGGTTATAATTAGGCCTATATTTTATTATATTATAAGCCTAAATAAAGAATCTCACAAGGGTATTGTTTAGGGCTCCTTGCCATTAAAAAGTTTGAAACCCCCTGCTAAAGAAAATATTGGAAATTCATAAGCAATGAATAAACAATCATTTAACTTTGATGGTTTAATGCTTCCTGTACACAATTTTGAGATTGTATTGAATTTAAAGATTGACTGTACAAAAACACTTTATGGTTTTCCCAAACCATCTCGGTGTAACAGCTTACTTTTCTTTCATACTATATTTTATTATTGTAAAGAATTGAACTGTCCTGCAGAAGATTTTGTAAATAATTTTTCATAGGATTTCTTGGTAAAGACTGTACAGTTAACAGCACTGTAAAAAAAAAAAATATCAGGTAACCTAAAATGTGCTTCATTTCGTGATTTCTTAATTAACTGCTTGTTTTTCGAAAATATGATTTAATACCAATGAGTTACATCAAGGGTCAAATAAAACAGAAATGGCACACTCAAGTTAAAAGTTACAACTGAATGTTGAAACCATTGTGTTTCTACGTATGCTGTACAGGTCAGGTATAAAGAATATTTTTGCTCAGGTGGCGAAAAATGTCCGCCCAATAGAAAAAAGTTTTGCTCAGCAAGAAAAAAAAATAGAGGGAACATTGATTATGACATAGCTGTATTAGAAAAAAATCCTACAACTCAAAAGCATTACGTTATATATTGACATTATCACTTTTAATTTGCCATTCAATTATTATAGATGCAAAAAAAAAAAAAGTAAACTCTGTATCTTTAGAAAAGCTTACATTTGTAAATTGTTAGGTCTCCAGGGGGTGAATAATTTTGATCACAACTGTATACATAAACTGTTACCGTTTCTGAAAAGTCTCTTATGCTCACGAAGGCTGCATTTAAAAGTATTTCTTTTATTATACAAATATTAAACAATCATTTTAAACATTACAATTTTATATCACATAAAAAATAAAAAATAAATATATATATATATAGAATCTAACCTGCCAAGGGCACCATACGTGTATTTAGCACCCGCTTCAATCAAAGCCTTTTCGCCCATTTCCATCAGCTGTACAGTGAGATCCAGACCCTAATTAAACAGGAACAACAACATATGTTTTTAATCATTTTAATCATCATAACTGAGGGCCCTATACATATAAGAAAATGTATAATATTATAATACAGGTCATATTTAAAAAATATACACTACCGTTCAAAAGTTTGGGGTCGGTACGATTTTAAATACTTTTAAAAGAATTCTCTTCTGCTAACCATGGCTGCGCTTATTTGATTAAAAATACAACAAAAATCAGTTATAGTATTAAATATTATTCCAGTGTAAATCAGCTGTTTTCTTTGTGAATATATAGTAAAGTGTAATTTATTCCTGTGATCAAAGCTGAATTTTCAGCATCACCAGTGTCAGTGTCTTCAGTGTCAAATGATCCTTCACAAATCAGTATAATATGAGGATTTGATGCTCAAGAAACATTTATTATTATTATCAATGTTGAAACAGTTGTTGGTCTGTCAGTTGTACAGTTTTTTTTTATTAGGATTCTTTGATGAATAGGAAGTTCAAAAGAACAGCATTTGTTTGAAATAGAATCTTTTGTAACATTATAAATGTCTTTACTGTCCTTGATAAATAAAAGTATTGATTTCTTTCCTCCAAAAAATAAAAATAAAATTCTCACTGACCCCAAACTTTTGAACGGTAGTGTATACTAAACAATTTTCTAAAAATTAAATATATAATATAATATAATACAATAATACCTGGAGGACATCCCCATCACCAAGAGTAAAAGATAAGTTTGGCAGCTCTTCTACCACAGTTCCATCAGTAAGACTGGTTTTAAGATGAATCGTGACATTTTGGCCTCTCTGGGGTCTGCTGTCTGGACCAGCTCCGGGTTCCAGAACTTTCTTTCTAAGCTGCCCATTTCCTGTGCGTTTAGAAAGAAAATGTTATAAAAATCACCATCAAACTTCACTCCACCATCTTATCATGAATATGCTGTGAAAAATGTGCTTAACTACACCATCGGTCTGGATATTTGCCCATTATAGTGTTCATCTCCATTAACTGATGAATTATTGCTGCCAAAATAAACGTACCTAAAACATCCAGCCACTCTTCCGGTTCTGCAGAAGGGGTTTGATCGGCAAACGCGTCTGCTTTTGTAGCGTCTTTAGTCGGATTGTTTTTCTTCTTTCCTGCACCTGCGTCTTCTAAAGGCGGGAGGTCGTCATCCCCTTCCTCTTCCACATCTTCCAACATTTCAAAGTCTTCACCACTATCGAGCAGCGAGGCACGTCCAGATTTCTTACCCGACGGCGCCACCTCCTGGTTATCAGCCGAGCCTTTCACAACCTCACCGTCGGCCATCTGGACTCACGTTCTACAGGAGAAAAATAGCAAGTTTCCTTAATGTAAATGTTTAGCAGAATATCCGAGCTGCTCTTTTCATTATAATGAAAGTGAATGGTGACCAAAACAATCAAGCTCCAAAAAAAGACAAAAAAACAGCATCGTTTCAATTTACTTTTGAATGTCCAAGAGCAGATTTGAAGTTTGGACATTCAACTAAACATCTCCTTATGTGTTTCACAGTTAAACATGTTTCCTCCCACCTATTGTTTAGCATACACAGTACACACGTTTTTTTTTTTAACGAAAATCTTCAGAGAAAAGGTCAACCCGTGACCTTACACATACAGTGAAAACCTAAAAGAATCAGCACACATTCACCGCCGACAATCTCTGTAAATAATAAACCAACTGCGGTTGAGCTTTAACCACCAATTTCACAAGCATTTCTACTTGTGCATAATATTATATAAGCTTTATTATTGTTTTTTAACATAAAAAATGTTGTGTTTATAAGTGTTTATCATACTCCCATTGGCATTCAGCAAGATATTGTCGAAGAAACTGCATACCTAGGTTGAATTTTTGGGAACAAATATTGTTTATATCACTTCCAATTCTATCAAAGTAACTCCAGAAACAAAAAGACTAATTAATTATTTGTCCTTTCAAATGAATAAATGATCATATAGAATACAAATCACTTTCAAAACATTTACAAATAAAATGTAAAAATTATAACAGGCTAATTGAACCCTTATAAAAAAATACTGTGGAATGATTAGAGTATTTACATTTCATTCATTGTATTAATGGAATACTCCAAATACTCGCCACATGAAAAAACAAACAAAAAAACATGGTATTACCATTGTACTTTTTGGAAAAGAAACCCTACTTATCATTGGATACTAATAATATAATCCAATAAACATTTGGTGAAATGAAATGATATATTAATGTGCAACTGAGAAGTGTGAATAGGCTAATTACACCCTTATAAAAAATACTGTGGTGGAACTATTGTACTAACAAATAATTACCTCATTGACAATCCATGGTATTTATATGATACTCCAAGTACTCGTCATAATACTATGGTACACGAGCAAAAAAACAACAACACGGTAATACCATAGTCATTTTTGAAGAAATCGTAATTGTTGTAGCATGAGCTAAAACTTTATTATTAAAAATATATCAATCTAAACACAATTTATAATTTAATGTGCATCTTATAAGTGTGAATGTCCTGTTGTAATTAGAATGAAATTTATTCCTGCAATTTAAGACAGCAATAAACGTTTATTTAATAAGCTCTTAGCGGTTTTGTGTTTAATTATGAATGGGAGAGCATGCATTCATAAAATATAAATTTTAAAGCAGCAATTATTTGCAGAAATTACAGCTTTTCCAGAACATTCCAGCAACTTTGATAAAGGGCTCGCGCTCTGCAAGCGCCACAACTCAAGTGTTACGTACAATGAGAAGACACAACTTTCGTTTAAAGGTTTATGTGCAGTAATATGTTTTGAAAGTGTGGTGAACATGAAAAGAGATGAGCATACTTACTTGCTTGGAGCTGCGCAGCAACTACTTTGACAACAAACAAGATCAATCTGTGCAACTTCCGGGTAAAGGTTAACGGTCAATTCCGACAAGTACAAAATAAAAGTCATATAGTCAAGGTCGCTGCAATGACTGCAGGGGACTTTTATATTAAATAATAAATAACTCTCTCTATATAATATATATAAATATAATATAATTTTTATAACAATAACTTTAATCATTACAATTATTTATATGTATATATATATATATATATATATATACTGTATATGCCTATATATAATTTTAATGCTTAAAATGATTGTTTCATTTTAATATAAATTAAACATTTTTATAATATATATATACAATTATATAAATATATATATTATTTAATATTTTTGGGGGTGTTTGTTATTTCATTCCAATAACAAAACTGAAACACATAAAAATATCAAATTACATTTATTATTGATGCAATCATTTCTTTTTGATAAGCAAATTTTCTGGGGGGGTTTTTCTCAGTCTAAAGAAACTTTACAATATAAAGAAACATACAAAGGACATATTTACCTACACAAGACACCTAAGGCCCTAGGACAAAGATCTGAGCTATACCCTACTATAAAATACAAAGCAAACCCAAAGGGACAGACTGCTTCATATTGAATACTGCCATGTCGCAAGAAAGGACAATGTAAAATTACAGGAGAAATTTCTGTCATTCCCTCCCATGACCCTTCCTGCTTCAAAATACACATTTTCTTCTCAAACGTATTTCTAATGTTACAATATTATACATCACAACAGAAGTGCAGAGATGGCCAACAATTGAGCAACTTATATAATTCATCCTTCAGAACCCTTACAATTTGATGTAAACCGACTCAATATTCTGTTCAGTATCAAAAGCCATTTCCGTCACACAAACTAAAAGTTTGAGGAATTTAAGCTTTGATTGTTATTTACGAAGAAATAAATGCATAAGCCTGTTGCAGACTTGATTTACAATAGGGGTGAGCATCGACCTGCAGTTTTTTACAGCAAAAGCATCTCTTTAAAATACAAAAACACAAACAGATTCTTTATAACTTATTTTCAGCTGTACTCATTGGTTGTGACTGACATATCAAAACATGTCAATGATATCAAAATGCATTTTACAGTATTTACAGTAAAGCAAAGGTCAGGGGTGAGGGTCAAGAAAGGTTGTGGGCTGCGTACCAGACAAACCGAAGACAAGCATGGACATCCCTTCAAAATTGACCAGGAGGCTGAGCCTGGTTCTCTCAGATGGCCAATATACCAAAAGATCCGTAATACAGTCACTGGACAAAAGGCATTTTAAACTGGGCTGGCAAGGTCGAGTGATTTTGAATGTCCCAAAATATGGATTCATATATCTTGTGATGAATCACAATTAAATAATTGCAGGCATGAAATGGCTGGTTTCATTCAATGAGTTCAATGGGAATAAGTGTCAATTATATACAAAGGAGAATCTCACCAAACCTGTCCAAGTCATATTTCACCCCAAATTCAGAATAAATATAGTAATATATATTTATATTAATATAGTAATTTACATTTTAACCAAAACTATTAGTTACTTCTTTATTAAACAATGTTAAAAATAGTTTAATCTATTTTTAACAGTATTTATTTATAATTTGTATGATTTTATTTTCATAATAGGCACATTCCATTCCAAGTATATACTATAAAGCAATAAAAGCCTTTTTATTATGCAAAAAAATGTACAGAACATGGTAGTATTTGTTGTACTCCCTATATTAATGCTGAATTATAAATAAAAAAAACATTGGATTTTTCAGTGAGTCCTGAAAAAAAAACTGAAAATGGGGAAAATGTTGTCCAAATGTCATAATACAAAAAAAAAAAAAACTGACCTAAAAGAGTCACTTAAATGAAGTGTTTTTTTTTACTCATTATTGAGGGGTAAAATGTGACCCAGACATCTTTTCATGTGATTTTCCCTCTTTTGTCATGATCAAATTCCTCATCCACAAGTATGTTGACCGCAAACTCTACATTTGAAGAACCTCATTTGAAGAAAGAGATGGGACCACACATGAGCTTCACAGACAAGAAGTGTATTGAAAATATCAATAAGGTCCATGACCCCCAAAAAAGAAAAGTTATATTTACAGACATGGGACTATAGAGCACAAGGATACTCGTGCTTGTAAGAGCAGCCTGAGTCCAACTACTTTTACAAACACGTCGTGGGTAATATTTCTAAAAAGACTTGCAAAACAACGTGGCAAACACGTAGTGGCAAAATTACAATGAAGTATCGGTGGAAAATCATCAAGAATGGATGGTAAAAATGTATTTGTTATTGGCTGTTTGTGACCAAGCCAAGGATGGAGCAAATACGCAATGGCAGTGAATATGAAACGGTCACCCTTTTACACTTTGAAATGTACTCCAATCTTTAAATACAGTGCCGACGGGTGCATTAAACCAGTGATTGTAGCCACTTTGTTGACATAGACACACAATTGAGCTTGTCCATCTCGGTAGTGATGACATCAGTTGGATGAAGAACACAGGAAGAGGTATATGCAAAGACACAAAATTCAAACAAAAGAGACAAACAAATACCTAAAATCATGTAAACAGAAGTGTCATTGTGCATTTGAATGTGTGCTTATTCTGTCATTGATGTTGTTGAGATACAAATGTGCCCTTTACAGGAAAATCCATAAAATTATGAGTACATCATCATCATAGCAATTATGAAAATTATAACAATAATATTATCAATAATATACAAATATAGTAATATGAGACCATTCCTGCCCCTAGCGTCACCAGTTTAGCTTTTTCCATTTTAAAATGTACACAGCAATCAAACAACCACTAGTTTCAGTGTTTCATTGCCGAAAGAAATGATCAAACTGGTCTGAAATAAAGCCACCAGCTTCAATGCTGATGAGCAGCTAGTTATGAAGTGTCTTCCTGGCACAGTCCCACACACACACACGCACATGTACAAACACACACACGGTGGTTCAATCGAGGGCCCGATCCAGATACGAAGCCCGGCAGGCAGGTTGAGTCCGTCAGAAGGCTCTTCCTGTGACCCGAGGCCTGCGTCCTTTCGGCTTTGTACTGGGCGTCCTCCGCTCCGTGGCCACACCGACCGGCTGAAGGGCGCCAACCCAGAGTGTTTGAGGGAGTTGTGGGGAGTTGAAGATCGAGCAAATAAAAAAATAAAAAAACACAACAACATGCCGAACGCAGCAGAGACGAGGAGAACAGGAAGTGGGATGGGGTGCGGGGTTAAAAAAATAAAATTAAAATTAAAAAACAAAATTAAAAAAAGAAGAATCACACACTCATCGTCATGTTGGGTGAATACTGCAACGAGAAGAGAGGAAGGGGAAGGTGGAGGGACAAAATGAGTCAATGAAGTTAAGATCATTACCGAAAACCAGAAATATCGCCCTATTATGTTTTATCATGGTTTGATATTTAGACATTACAACATTATAATGCACATGTGAAACAGGTAGTGGTGCAACGGATCACAAAGCTCACGGTTTGGATCATATTATGGTATTTGAGTCACGGATCAGATCATTTTTTCGGATAACTTTGCTTTCAATTTATTATTTAAAACACACTTTAAAGCTACACTGTGTAATTTTTACCCCCATCTAGCGGTGAAAAGGTATATGACCATCCAGTGAATATTAGTTTCTGTTCCTCTCAATTCCGATTTCGTTTTAACTCCTACGGTGGCCAATGTAGTCCAAGATTAACATGGCTTCCAGTTCGACCTCGTCCATGAGTGTTCCTTCAAGTGATGAGGTTATTTTAGAAAACTATTATAATTTGCAGTAATTTAATTTGTCAGGTAACATATAGGTTATGACTTCTATGTAAAATGAATAATAGTTTTATGTTTTCGTTATTTTTTTACCATTTCATTGCTAACATCAGTTATCAGGTTCCCAGACGAATGCAAGCTAATCTTAGTAAAGTAACTTTTATCAGTGCTATCGTTATTCTGTATGTTGTACGACATCACTAGCGTAAGGCAAAGTTTTTATTGTAGGCTATATTATACTTTCAAAAAGGCTTTCAGGTTTTTATATATCAGTCTCAAGCGATCCCCCTCTTGACATTCGACACGGTGCCATCGAGTGTTAAAACGCGAAAGGCGAAGCTTGAATTAACGGGTATGTCCCTCTTTGGCTAATGTACTTTCAAGATGGAGGGGCAACATGGCGACCGACATTAGAACCCCTTACCCGTATGTATTTTCAATGGCATATTATACACTCACGAGAATACTGTATTACTTGAACGAAGTAAATATACATTAATGAGCACATATATTTTTGAAAGAACTAAGTGTTTTTAGCTAGGAATAAACTAAAAAAGTTACACAGTGTAGCTTTAAGTATTTCGATACTACATAAAAAACTACTAGCCTAACTAATAAAGTTTAAACATTATTAATGACAAACAGTCAGCAATAAAATAAGAACAAATATACTAATTACAAGCATAGATAAATACAATATAACAAAGTTATAAATAAAGTAAGGTCTAACAGTAGTATTCAGGTACAGAAATGTAATTCGTGTTTACTGTATAAATTAAATACAGATTCATCTTTGTTAAAGCTTTTATTGTTTGATTAGATAGCATGAGGTATTTATAGGCTGCTGTCACTTTAAGACCGAATGCACTGATCCAATATACTGATACACATCCAATTTCTTTCTCAACTTAGCCATAACCGACTGTGTTTACGAGAATACTTGCAGAGATGGGTATTTGAACAGTTTTGTTCAAGTGAAAGGAGACAGGAAAGAGGGATCAATTCAGTGTTCTCTTTCACCTCTTTTTGAGCTTGAATGGTTTAAAATGGCCAGAATGTGTTCATTGGCCAAACAAAACATGTGCAAATGATACATTTTCACTCTGTGATGCTTGAACTTTGCAATTAGTCTGCGAATCACATGTGTGTTTGGTCCGTATGGATAACGGGTCAACTACGATCCGTTGCACCCCTAGAAACAGGAAAGCAGGGGAGGAGAGATATAGAGCGGGCCGGTGTGACATGAACTTACACTTTCACTTTGGAATGGGTTTAAGAAGTTGCCTGCCATCTCCCCGTCGTCCCGCGGAGTCCCTGGGGGATTGTTCATACCTGCCATGTTGTTCGGAGAGTTCTAGAAATCCAGACGAATGATGATTAGTGACATACACAAAATGGAGGAAACGGCATCCAACAGGAAACGGCCGAAAACGATAAGCCTGATAAAAAACTGATAATAACTGATAAAAGGCCAATATTAAAATTAATACAAAATGCTAATTTAAATGCTATAAGTGATTTAAGCATCACAACATTATATACAGTAGGAAAAGTGGATATTAATTTTGAGATTTAACAGCGTTATTAAATAAGGTAAATTAAAGCTAAATCTAAACATAACCATAGCAAAAACGACAATAAAAAATACTAATATCCAATGTCAGCCGATACCGATCTATTTAAAAAAAAATCTAATATCAGCCGATAACCAATATTGTCCCGATATTTGCGCATTCTTAAATATTTTTTTTTTAATTCACATCAGTATAGTTATTGTTAACTAAAACTAATTAAAATAAAACAAAATATAATTAAACAAAAAACTAAAACTTAAGAAAACGAATATGAAACTTGAAACTATAGAAATCTTGCCTTGTCAACTAACTGAAATAAAAGTATTAAAATGACGAAAAATGATATAAAAAATAAAGCTAAATAGAAATATTTTTAACAACTAAATTACTAAAACTTAAACTAAAATGAAAACTGAAAATATAAAAAAGGAAAGTTATTTTAAAATATTAATAAATACTATATAAAAATATAAATAGTAGATAAATAATACAAATATCTCACCTTTGGCAACCCGTCCATATCACCCGAGCCTGTAATCAAAAGCAGGTAAGAGTGAGACCATTAGAAATGTTTGCTATTTTGTACATATTAGATGATGTATGACGAAGTCTCACCTAAAGACCCGTTCATATGGTGCGGCTCCATCGCTCCCATTCCACCCATTGGACCGTCGGGCCCCGGCCCCATTGGGAACTGCAGAAACACAGATACTATTAGCCTCCAGTAAATCAACAATGATACTAAAACTACAAAACCCTTTTTCATACTGCATTAAAACATCCTCTTACGTTCGGTCTGTTGCCACCAGGGCCGATTGGATTCATCATCGTGTAAATGTTTTCACTGGAATTCGTCGAGTCTACGAGAAAACAGATGATATTTCTTAGCGTTTCACTGGGAAATTCTCCTCAGCAAGCTGATGCATTTACACACCGTTTCCCAAACTGAAAGCTTTCTGTTTTAAGATAGTTTCCAGTCACTACTGTTATGAACTTTCAATGAAAAAAAAAAAAGACTGATATGAAATTCCAGATAAAATCCTATGGATTAGATGAAAGCAAACTGACCTCCTGGGCTTGGCATGATGGGAGTTCCTGGAGGCCCGCCACCTCCTGGAGGCCCCTGAGAGACAAGCACAGAAAGCGATTACTCACAAAGAACATTTCGGACAAACAGAGAGACAAAATCTTGTGCGTGCGACTCACCACATAGTTTCCTGGTGATGAAGATGAGTATGCTATCTGTGGGAAGAAGAGATAGTTATGAAGCCGTTTCTCAGAGTTATTGCGATATTGACATTTTTGGAAGTGGCACTTACTGAGTTTGCGTTAGGATTAGGCCACGGCCCTCGACCTCCCGGACCCCTGAAAACACAAGAGGAAATGTTAAGGTGCGTATAAGCGCAGCAAAGACAGTGTAAGTGTGTTATACTGTGGCGTCGACTCACATGTTCATGCCAGGCATTCCAGGACCGCCGAGAGAGTTCGGAGGAGGCCTCATTCCACCGCCGTAGTTCTACAAATGGAGGGATGGCAAAGGTTAACCTACATATGAAACATGTTATGGCACTGTAACTAGAATGTGCTTTTCTTTCCCTGAACTCCCTTAAATGCTAAATCCAGTACCTCATCTTCAATAAATTCAGCAATTTTCTAAATTCATAATAGTATTATAATGACTACAGACAGGGTACCCACATTCTATATAAAAATTATAATATATATATATATATATATATATAAGACAAATGATACATTTACTATATCAATTTCCATTTCTGTGGCTTCTTATACTTATTTATTGCTTTTTATTAGATTTATTCATTTTATGCACTTTTAATATGACTTTTTTTTTATATTTATATAGTAATATATAATAAGACATATTTGCTATTAAAATGGCTATGCATTTAAATTCTATATAATAATCTATCTAATAAATAAATAAATAAAAAACATATTAACTTTAACAATTTGCAATGGCCTCATTTATTTATTTATTTATAGAATATACATTTCTATAACATATAATCTAACATTTCTATTTCCATGGATTTAAATTAGAAACTTAGATTTTTATTTTCCCCTGATATTTTCTATGACTATGTTCTCAGGGTTCCCAATCTAAGCATGACTGTTTTATTGAAAGGAACATCAGCCAACCTGTGGGCCCATGCCTCCCATTCCTCTGGGTGGGTTCATCCTCATTGGGCCGCCCATGTTTGGATGTCCTGATGGGGAAGAGGAACCACAACACTTTTACAAATGCCATAGCAAAACATTTTTCAAACACAGCTGGTTGTAAAATCTATGGTGCAGTGTGGTACCTTGCGGTCTGGTGGGGTCCAAACTGTTTGGCAGGAGCGGCTGTGACCCGGGGACTCCAACGGGAGGCTGAAACCAAGAAAGAGAGTATGAAACAAGAGCCAAGCAGAGAAAAGGGGGGTCGTGGGTGGGGTCAGTACCTGATTTGGCATGCGGAGTGATGGGCGGGGTCCACCTGGGTACCGTGGAGACATGAAAGGCTATGGGGAGAGAGCATAGGATCAGTCAATCAAAAGACAGGGTGGAATACACCACAGTTAACCTGTGATTAGGACATAAACACTACTTTAGGGCTTTCCACACTTTAAATGGTTAACTTAGCCTGGGTTATTATAAACCCTGGCTAAATAGAACCCTGGGTTATGATTCACATTTCAAACTTTTCATAAATTACCCAGGGTTAACAATTAATCCTGGATGTTCATATGCTGATAGATCACACTTTACATGCCTAACCCCTGGGTTAACAGTCAGTGTCATTGATTGGACGAAAATAACCCGGGGTAAAGCGCAGGGTGAAAAGCCCTTTTGTTTGAAATACAGTATGCCGCTGTGAATTCGTCAGAACATATTCCTAAACTGTACTTGATAGAAATCATATTCTCTATAACTCTGATGATTATACTGGACTGTCCAAAAGCAATTTATAGTATCTTATGGATTTATAATTGATTAAAATCTTATGGTTTTATTATTTAAAATAAAAGAAAATGTGGTAACACTTTATTTTACAGCGTCCTCCTCGTTACATGTAGTTCCTATAGTTATAATTTATAAATTATACATAATTACAGGCAACTAACCCTAAACCAAACCCTAATCCTAACTCTATAGTAAGTACATGTAGTTAATTATTATTACTCTGCACTTTAATGTAGAATTACACTGTAACACAGACACCTTAAAATAAAGTGTAACTGAAAATGTAGTATTTGAGATGCACAGTACAATGGTTACCAGCAGGGGGCGCAATCACACTACCTAAAAGACATCAGTTTGAGCCTAAAGGGAAGACCTCATAAACATTGGTTCTCTACACTGACAAGGGGAGGCTGCTGCTATCACATTGTTTAACAGAGGAAACCTATGGTATTTTAAACAAGACTTTACAGCAAGAACAAAGCCAGAAAGAGCTTCACAGAAGAGCAGAAAGAGAGAATGACCCTCCCCTTGCATGCAAAGATAAGCTAAACATCATATCCTAATCAGGCATGGCAGAGACAAGTTACAGCAACAAGTAATTTGTCTCTCCGCACTAAAAGCAAAAATGCCGCCTGATGCCACAATCTCGGCCAATAAGAACATATTTGCACATACATGCTTCATATACAGCTATACATTCAACCAATGAGATTTTACTGTGGGTGAAGTCATCCAGCATAATGTCACAGAAACAAAGCAGCCGGTAAAACGATCTATCGATCAAAGCTTTATTACATCACAGAGTAATAAGTCATTTCACAGGCTTTGATCCAACAACCATTAGGATTGACCCTTCTTGTTCAAACTTGGTTCCCGCTCCGTCTACACATGTTCGCTCCAAGTTGGAGCAAGTTTGTGTACTCAGAAGGGTGTGTTGGTGTTTGCGTATTTGTGTTTGAGTGCCTGTGTTTCTGCTTGCATGTGTAAACGCAAGAGCATGTTTGTGTGTGCGTGCGTGCATGCTGCATTATTAATAGGATATTGATGGACTATGAAGGACTGAGTGCAGGGTGTAGGGAGGGACCAGTCTGCAGAGTCCCAGCTAGATGAACTTCCACTCCTGATGGGTTGGGCCACAACCTGCATTATTTATCTGGCAACATCGTCACTGTCAGTGAGGAATATGTGCGTGTGCGCGCGCACGTGTGTTTTCAGAGAGAACAGAGAATGAGGTAATGGACTGATTTGTGCTCTATCTAGGGATGGGTCAAGATGGCAACCAGTCATCCAAAAAGTCTAATAGTATACCGTCAAACCAAAATTTTCTCACATTATCACAGTTTCTTTGAGTTCTTGTCATATTTTATTGCCATTTTCTAAAATATAGCAGAGTTATCAAATCAGTTGATATTTCACTGGTTTTGGCCATCCTTCTGTTAGACTGTATCACAGATGAATTAGGCTGAATAGCTGTCAGCTGTTAAATTTAAGTACACAATTAGATAATACCAATTTAGGTCAACCAATTACCAAGCAATGCTTAATTTTGTTCAGTCTGTGGTGTAAAAAGGTCGCATTAGCAATTAAAGAAAAAACACTTCAGCAAAACATGGTCAGGTCAAAGTGTCTGAATAAATTTTGGTCCCAAATGTTTATAAATTTTACTGGTAGTCCACTGTATGAAGAATTTTTGGGTATAATGTGTCACAGTTTACTTTATTTTGCTATCCTCACTTACATAAATGAACTATAGTGTACTGCACCCAGTAAAAAAAATATCAAAAAGTATATTTGGTGTCTGAATAATTTTTGGTTTGACTGTATATACTAAAAAAAAAACTACAAATCATGTAGCTCAAATAGAAGATCTAGTAACACCAAGGACATGGGTTCAATTCCCAGGGAATGAGTAAGCCGATAAACTGTATAACTTAAATGCAATACAATTCACTTTGGATACAATAATCTGCCAAATGTGTAAAATAAAAGTAAAGAGTTTACAGTCGAGTCAGATTAGTAAGGTTGGGTACCGAACTCACCGAATGACGTCGGTACTACAGAGTACCAATTAACATTAAGTCAATCAGTGCCAAATTTCGATACCTGAGAATGCATCTGGGTGCGAGAGTAAGACTATTTCAATACGAATCCTGCATGTTCTGCGTGTCTCTGTGTGAATGAATGGCATGACGCTCACGCTGTTTTCAGCCTCTGCCGTCAATTTAGATAATTCTCAATGTTATTATAACACTAACACTAATAATAATAATAAATTATCAAATCTTTATTTAAGGAGTAATAAAAAAATGTCCTCCATGTTTTAATTTTAACAGTATAAAGCTCAGTTGTGCAGCATGATTAAAAGATAAATGAAATTAATGTTTTTTTGATTAACACAAAATACACAACAGAATTTGTGGAAAACAAAACATTTCATAGAAATGACATTCATTTTTTTTATTAAAATAGTTTTTTTTTTTTTTATTAAGTAGCTGTAGCCTACTATTTACAGGTAAATATTACAGTATACAAACATCACAGACAAATGGCAGACAGCGACCAAGGCAGCTCTGACACAATGTCAATAACACTTCTATAAATTACTTAAAGTTTCTTTACAGTTATTGAGGTAAACGTGCCTAAAGTACCGAAAAAAGGTACCGTTGGGTACCCGCACCTAATTTCATGTAGCGGTACTGGTACTGGTACGGATAAAAAGTGAACGGTACCCAAACCCTACAGATTAGTCGACTAGTCATTTAGGAACCCCATCAACAAGTTGACTTTTTTTTTTTTTTTAAGTCTGAAGTTTTGCACACTACTAGATCTAGCTAGTGAGGAAATGCAAGGAAGAAAAGAAGAATGGAGGGGTGAGGATGGAAAAGGTGAATTGAAACTTGTGCCAAAGGCACTCCTGAAATTTTAAACTATACCCAACATGTATCTATTCCTCAGGTTATCTGTGAGGAAGTACAAGAAAACAGGGGGAAGTGTGTCTTACCTGACCATGCGGCCCCATCATGGGGTTGTTGGGGTTGTGTGGAGGGGGCTGTGCATGAGGTGATGGTTGTGACCCAGGTGGGCCCTGAGAAAGAGAGGAAAAAAAACAAAACAGTTAGAGATATTACACTCGACATACCATTAAATATGTCTTTGCTATGGTAGGTTGACCAACAAAGTCTTGCTGGTTAAGATGCAAGTTGATTCCGATGGTCTCTAATAACGATGCAGCCCCTAGATTAGTAATAAATCCACCATTTATCCGCCAGCAAAGGGCATCTCCAACAGGGCTGGGCAGCTGCTGAACCCCATAACAGCTACACCACAAGGCCTCCAATGGAGTCCATTATTGGTAACTGAGAGAGGCATATGGCCTTTACCGAGACGCCTGTTCCTGCACCACATCCCTGTAGAGAGTGACTGAGGAATAACTTGGGCAGGATTGTGTGCGTGTCTTGGGTGAGGAGTGGGGGGGTGGGTATGTTAAATGAAGCAATTAATAAAATCATTTTCTACCCAGCTAAGGAGATAACGGCTTGGCACCAAACTACAAAACCATTAAGAGCAGCCCCTCCCGCCGAGAAAGGGAACGGCACATAGTATTCCTAGCGGGACAGTGGCATAGAGGACCGCAGCAACCACAGAGTCCAAGTGTTTCAGAGAAGCAATGTTGTTTCCCAACCAAAAGGGGGCAGTGTGTAGCCACTTGCCGAGTGACTGCCGGGACACAAAGTACCAAGCAAAACAAAGCATGGAACAGCAACACAATGCATATTTCATTGTTGTTTCTGTGTACATTACAAAAAAATAATTTGACCACTTTTTTGGCAAACGGCACAGGATTGAGCAATTTGTGTGGTTGAGGGTGTGCTGTTTCAGAGGGATGGTTTTCAATGGTCTTGGAAGTAATTATTCTGATAAGTGCAGCGGTCACAGAATCTGTCAATAACCGAGATGATAAATGCAATGTGACGTACCATACAGGATGCAGATGTCATCAAAAAGATCTAGTTGTCGAATATTTCAAGAAACCTCACAAACCTGTGTGCACCAGAGAGGTACTTTGACTTTAAAGTCACCCCAAATGAAGCAAACAATTATTTATTTAGATTTTTGTGCAAAAGGTGCAACTGTCAGGAAATTTAGAGACAATAAATATAATATAGTATAGTATACCAAACAGAATATAGATGTCAAGAAATCTCACAAAACTGTGTGCACTTTGAGTTGAGAGTTCCTTGTTTGCATCATTTACTTTTGCGGTCAATCAACCATCCATAAGGAACATCTTGGGAAGGTAGACAACGTAACTCAAAATAGAAAGTATACTGAGATTTGCTTGAGTATGGGGACATCAACAGGACTACAACACTGTATAATGATGGGCTTATTTCAATGTCCCAAGACTCCTGCACCTCGCAGCAAGTCAGAACAAGATCCTCCAGTCCTTTTAACCTTGATGGAACTCTCCCTCTCTAGAGTCTGCCAGTCTTTCACTTTTCTCAGTGTCCTGTTGGTTTTCAAGAGGTTTTTTGTGGGAGAAGGGCAGATGCAATTCTCCCACCACCTTCCCTCAAAACAAACTCATCCATTTCAGATGTTTCCAGCTAAAGTTGAAACTATTTCTTTTTTTCCACTCCTTGACTTTGCTCGCTCCCTCCCTGCCTCCCTCTTGCTAGACTGTCCTCCCAAGAAGAGCTGGTGCAGTGGAGTTTCGACATGAAGATTATTGAAGAGGCCGACCCCGTGCAATGGGGGGAATAAAAAAAAGGGGAAAAAAATAATACAAAATTTCCAAGATCCGGGCCAGACGCCAGCACGCGAGCTTTGGGTTTCTCTCCCTAGACTCTCTTCCTTCGCGCTCAGTCTCTCTGCAGGAGGTTGCTGGGAGTCTGGGCATGCGAGGTACAGATTAGGAGAGTCTGGAGAGGGTGTACAGGAGGGTTTAGCCCTCTTCACCTTCGTCCCCATCTCGCAGGACCATGCTGATCACACGGCAGCTACTGTGGTCGCATGTGTTAATTATCGCTGCTACATCTGGAGCTGCGCTAGAGACACAAACAGAGGCTCAAGCGTGCACGTTTTGGCTGCATAGCTCCACTACCAAAATGCTTTTTAAACTTAACTGAAACAGCGTACTACTTACTTGAGTACCAGTATTTCTTACAGAATTGTTTTTGTCCCCCTATTATTGTTGGACATGACTGAATGGTACGAAGTTCCACAAGTTAGTCAAATGTTTATTCAATAACTGCGGTTGACATTCAGTGAGTTATTCATTAGAATGCTTCAAACTGATAACTCAGGAGTTCATGATACTTTTTGATTGAATCACTAAAATAAATTATTCATGTCGGCGCCAATAGCCCCATGGTTAACGCGCCAACATATAGCGCAACTGCGCCTCCGGCGACCCAAGTTCGATTCCCAGCTCGAGGCCCTTTGCCGATCCACTTCCCCTCTCTCTCCACCCCACGCTTTCCTGTCAAAATCTCTACTGTCCTATCCAATAAAGGCACAAAAAGACCAAAAACCTAACTTGCAAAAGGAGGCGACAGAGCACAAATGTCCGATTTTTGAAACAGCAAAGTTTTGATTATGACTGCAGAATCAGCATGGATCACAACCTGTTCCAATCACAATTCTATTAAAAATAGCTAGAAAAAGAGCAGCTCCAATTATTAGCACAACTGTGTCCAGCAGCCGTGGCCGACAAGAGTGGGAGGAAGCAGTAGTTAGCTCTTGAGAGGTGTGAAAGAGTGATATACTGGCCACTAGGATATATGCCAAGATGGATATATGCTGGTCGCGTGGAATCGGGGAGCTTACAAGGAACGCACGTGGGCCTGGAGGAGCCTGTCTTTTTGCAATTGTTGCCTCATTGCCATCTCCCTCTTCCTTCTTTCATTTTCTGTCTTCACTCTCTCCATGCCTCTCTTTTGCCATGCCCTGGGCTGCTACCAAGAGGGAATTACTGCAGTGGAGCACAAAGTCCTCCCTCTTCTTCCCTTTCTTAGTTCTCTCTCTCTTTCTCTCTCGCTCTTATGCACACAGGCGCTATTTATAGAATGCAATGTCACTCACGCAACAGTCAGATCGCTCCCTGCTCTGAACACGGCTCATACAACATTAACACTCTCCTCCTCAATTCAAAGACCATGTCCATGTTCTATCTTCCAATCCATGTGATGCTCTACCTGAACGTCATCTCAGCATCTGCTGCTTTTAGGATGCTCTATCAGCTATTCTCCCAGACAATCTGCAACATTCTGAATGTATTATTGTCTCTGCCAGTCCACCTTGATGTTCTATCTATTCTATAGGATGCTCTATCAGATGATGTATCTGCCACTCTATCTTATCTTGACATTCTATCTACTCTATTGGATGCTCTATCTAACCTACTGTTCTACTAGATCAATTTGCTGTACTGGTCTTCTAGTTCCCTTGGATCCCTGATCTGCAGCTCTATCTGATCTTCTATTTACTCTATTAGATGTTTTATCTAACCTATCTGATGTTTGACAAGATGTTAGACACTGTATCAGATTTTCTATCAAATGAATCTTGTGTTATATACACACATTCTATGGGAGAACTACATGATGTTCTACTAGATGTTCCAATTTGCTGCATCTACTCTTCTATATCATTGACTCATTTGGATCTTCTATCTGCTGCTCTATCTGATCTCCTATGTACTCTATCGCAGTGATTCCCAACCCCCGGACCGGTGCCGGTCCGTGGACCCGTTAGTACCGGGCCTTGAAATATTCCCAGAATAATTTTTTTTTATATATATAATAATAATTGTCTTTTTTAAATGGTTTTTAACATGTCATGTTATTTAATCCAAAACATAAACAATAAATAGATTAAAATAAATAAATAGATTAAAATGTGTTTCTTTGAGTGCCTTGCGATTGCTTAGCAACGCGTCGTATCTGAACGGACTGCAAAAAAAGCGCGGTGCACCTGAAGTGACAGAAGTATGTGGAGAGATGAGCAGGCCTCAGAAAACTTCAATGGCTAATTTCATTGCGGACAGTTCCGATAAAAGGAAAGGCGATGACCAACTTGAAAATAGCGAGAGAGAGAGAGAGAGAGAGAGAGAGAGAGAGAGAGAGAGAGAGAGAGAGAGAGAGAGAGAGAGAGAAAAAAAGTCAAGCTTCAATCGTAAATACGATACCTCATACATTAGGTATGGATTTACGACAAAAGGCGATTCCGTGGCGCCAAATCTGTTGTGTGTTATTTGTGGTGGAAAAACTCTGCAATGGAGCAATGAAGCCGTCGAAACTTCAGCGGCACTTAACCACCAAACACCCAACTCTCAAAGACAAAACGGAGGAGTTTTTCGAAAGAAAGAAACGTGAGTTGGACGCTCAGCGGCAAGTTTTGATATCCTCAACATCGGTAAACGTAAGCTGGTTTTCGTTCATATTTGTGAAGCAGACCTTTTTAAATTTCGTTTTATTGTATCCTGGAATTTGTGTGCATTGTTTTGGATGCATATATGTTTTTTATGGATGCCCAGGAAGAACAGCTTGTCTTGTGCACAGCTACAAATATAGTAATATCATGCTCACATTAAAATAGTTTTGCTCTCATTGGTCTGGTCTGGTATTTTTGTTAAAGGTTAAAGCTTACTCTCTAATTTTATACTTTTAAAAATTATTGGCTGAAATCACTGTGTGTTTGCTATTGTATTCTGAAACTGTCTGACTGTTGAAACTGGCTCTTATTTTCATACAATTAGCCTTTGTTTTCACCTGTTGGTGAGTGAAAACACTAAGTTGCTGTTGAAGTGATTGTCTTTAGTGGTTCTGGAGAGATTTGACAGGTGAAATGGACTGGTATTCTCATACAATTTGCCATTACTGCCACCTGCTAGTGAGTGCTGTGTGAGTTGCTTTTGAAGTAGACCTAATTGTATGGGAGAAAAGGGAAACATTTTGTGAACCGGTCTGAAAGTTTAAAAAGATTGGTATATTCATACAAGTAGCCTTTGTTGCCACCTAGTTCATTATATGCAAATAAATGATAGGCTGTTACTGTTTACACCGTGATATGTTCCGAATCCAAACGATGCATCTAATTAAGGCATTAAAATTGACAACTGGTCCCTGGAATTTTTTTTATGAATATGCTGGTCCTGGCACAAAAAAGGTTGGGAACCCCTGCTCTATCGGATACGTTATCTGATGTTCGACAAGATGTTAAATCCACTGTCTCAGAATTTCTATCCAATGAATCTTATGTTATGTATACTCAATGGGACCCTCCATCTTATCTTCTATCTGATGTTATCTTGTATTAACTTATCTTGCATTATCTTTTCTTCCATTGATTCTTTTGGATCCTCTGTCTATCAGCTGCTCTATCAGGTGATCTATCTGACCTTCTATCTACTCTATCGAATGCTTTATCTGAAATTCGACAAGATGTTAAATCCACTGTATCCGATTTTTATCTAATGAATATTATATATGCTCCATGGGATGCTCTATATGACCTCCTAGCTACTCTTTGTGATGCTCTGAGCTTTCTGATGTTTTACTATATGTTAAATCCACTGATTCAGATCCCAATCTGATGTATTTTATGTTGTATCCATAGATGGTCTGATCGTAGGAAATAGGAAATCTGAAATAATAAAGATTAATAATATATAGAACTATAAGCCAATAGAATACAGAGATAATTTTTTTGTTTTTTTTCACACACAAAAAAAGAAATTCATTAGTATAATATCTTATTACACAAGTTGGACCCAGAGATATAATGAAAATAATTCTTGACTAAGAAAATTTGTCTAAGGTAGTGTGTGTGTTTGTTTAGAAAGGTGTCTAGCTTGTCTGACTATAAATAGCTCAATAAAGATCACTATGGCAGAGGAACTCCCACAGGCACCTTGACTTTGGGAACTATGCCCCTAAGCATTCCCCCAAATCCCAGCCCTGAATTTAAAATACACAGATATGTTGTTAGATAAGTGTTGCCAAAGAGCTACAACCAAGCACGCATGTTTTTACCCATTTTGGCCTTAGGGATTAAACTGTCGAGGCATTCACACTGATCTCAGATCAGGGGCCGCAACTCTGTTTGTGTCAGTGTGAGTTGCTACTGTACTGAACAACTAATTTAGACGCAAAATGAAAATGAATGGAAATACAGAGAGGGAGAGATAGCGGGAAAGAAACATCTGGACAGGGATTAGAACAACTAAAGGGGGCTAGAAAAAGGAGGGGTGGGGTGAGGGACAGAAAAATGGTAAAAGCTTAACGCACAGGGTTAAAGGAGGAGGTTGAACCAAACGGGAAGGTGGGGGAAGGAGAGAGCAGCTCTTACTTGAAAGAAGCCGGGAGGCATGGGTCCACCTGGCATGCCATCGTTGGGCGGCATGTTGCCCATCACAGGACTGGGAGCTGCTGCCGCACTCTGAAACAGAGAAACGTGCAAAGCCTCGTCAAAAAATAGATTCTAAAATAAATTCTAAACAAAATTGCACCTTTCAGCCACTCAAACTATTCTTTTAAAGTTTGTAAATAATTCCTCTTCTTCCAATAACAATTCTATTATTCCAAATCGACAAGATTCGGGTTTAAAAACAACAACATACACCTAGAATCTCTTGTCAAATATGTGGGCTGTTCTTTAGGTTGAAGCCTGGGCCCCCCAACACCCCAGACAAAGCAAAACTCAGCAGTGTCTTTCCCATGATGGTAAAGAAGGGGCAGACAGGGATTACACACGACCCCAGCGCCCCCTCCTCCACCCTGTAATCAGATCCCTCACTCTCGTCTGGGTGGAGGAGGGTAAATCGCCTCACTGCTGCTGACCTTAATAGTCCAGACACTCGCCGCTGACCCTGAGAGGGCAAAGGGCACCGTTTCATACACCGACATACACAGTCATAGGTACACGATTATCTGCCTTTAGCTCTTACACATTTGTAATAGCATATCACCCACTAAAGCCACATACAAGTATATTTAAGATCACATATAGTCACACACACCAACAGGACAGACTTGACAAATTTGACTAAAATTCCTCTGGGGCTTCATCCCACCAGCACCTTAGGTTGAGAAGAACTGGCAGATTATTTTAAATGCTTTTCATGACCGTCGGTTCTGGTAACAATTCTCAAATGTCTCAAAATAAAAAATATTTAGAGAATAAAAGGCTCGTTCACACCAAGAACGATGCGCTGCAGTTGTGTTGTATGCTGCTTTAAATGCTCAAGCTCTTTAAAGTCTGATTGCTGTCAATGTTTTTAAAATTCTCAAATTCAATGATATAATTCTCTGTCGTTACTGTTACAGTAGTTGTGTGGACTTCCATATTCTCACAGAATTTGAACGAATATTAAAACTTTGATGTTATAGTATCATCCTAGCTGTTGACGATTCAAAATCTCGCACAAAACTATCGTATAGCTTCAGAATACTTTTATGATACTTTTATGAAGCCTTTTAGAGCTTGAAAGCCTTTCATTATAATGACAAATAATAGCATGAACATAGTTCTAAATTTTTCTAATTTCTGTTCTGTGGAATAAAGTCTGGAATAAAATAAGGTTGAGTAATTGTCAGAATTTTCATTTTTAGATGAACTTTCCCTTTAAGACATCGACAAATCAAAAGCGCCAGCCACAACTTCCACAAAAACCCAACAGATTTACATATAATTTATATACAAGCACGCACTTTCTCAAAAACAAGGGAAGAAAAATGGTCCGGAGGCTGGTGCTGGGCAGATAACAGGTGAGGTACGGCCAGGCGCCGTGTTTGCTTGCAGTGGAGGGACTGGCGAGTGTGTTTGGTTAAGGAGAGGGAGGGGCTGAGTGACAGATCGGGCTGGAGAGATTTTGTTTACACAGTGGCTGGTGTAGGTTTAACCAGCACAATGGCTCCGACTCTATTGCCACACCATATGAATAAGTGAAAATGCAAAACGAGAGTGGATAAATACTTTCATTAACACACAGAGATGAACTAAAGGAAAATCACTGGCCAGAATGACCAGTGGCCCATCAGCGGTAACAGGAGTCGTTGGTAGCTCACAGCGCAACTCCACTGCACTCAGGTAGAGCGGCAGAGGGCCCAATCGGCTTGTTGCCATGACAACTCAGACCTTGGCTCTCCCGCTCTCTGGTGCCCATTAAAACCCTCAGGCCGTCAATCACTCGCCCGGCCAGGGAGCGAAAGAGAGGGAGCGCGAGAGAAACCGAGAGAAGAGAATGAAGATAGAGTTTAAAGGAGCCTGTGGCTTTTGATTGGCCTGGCTGCTACTGCTATCTCTCTCCCTCTCGACCACATAAACAGACACATTCCAGTTCCTGTTAACACTTCTCATGCCGTGCTTTGCATGTTTGCCCAGCCCTCATCCCTTAAAGCAAGAACATTATACATGAACTGATTTTCCAAACGTTTTACCCCTTCAGGTGCGGTCATATTTAGCATTGTTGGTGAATTTTCACTGGCAAAATGATTTATACAGGAATCCATGGAAGTGGGAATTTCACATGAGGGCGAAAGATTTTCCCACGCAACTTTAGCAACGGGTTCCAATTAGCCTTAAAAGTTTGCCGTGCTGACAAACTGAAAACTGCTTGGTTTGAAAGTGATAATGCAGATTTTTTGCCCAATAACTGATGCTGAAATTTAGCTAATATAATTGCACCTGACATGATTTCAATTTAAAAAAAAAAAAAAAAAAACCTATATCAGCCAATAATTTTAACAAAACTGTGACTTTTGTCATCAGATCATTGAAATTCAAAGTTTCATAAAATTATATAAAATATATATAAATGTGTGTGTGTTGTTTAAATGAATTTTTAATGATCATTTTCCACTGCCAACAACATGACATGCTTATGTGCATATTTTGTGTCATGCTATTGTGCAAATTTCACTATTTTGGGAACAGTATTACAGCAGAAATAAAGCTCATCATAGATCAGCAATAAATGTACCTAATTAATTATTAATAAACCATGAATAATTTTGGTGACCTATACGTTCACCTAGCATCCACACATACATACACAAGTCCAAACCCTCTGAAGTAATTAGCCACTGCTGTTTTAATTATCAGTATCAATCGTAGGCCTCGGCTGGGCAGCAGACAGCGGAGGAAAGGCTTAATCTGGGCATCGATCTGGAGCAGGGATCCAGGATGAGGAATGGATCCTACCTTATCTGTGCTCAGACGAGCAGGGTAACCCAGATCAACGACCGACAAACACATGCACACATACTCTAGTAACAAGAAGTCACTGGCCATTCAGCATATGCTGAATGAGCAATACAGTGGCTCAGAAATGGACATGTAAGCATGGAAGTCGTCTTGATGTATTAACACCAAGTCAAGTCAAGTCACCTTCATTTATATAGCGCTTTTAACAATACGGACTGTTTCAAAGCAGCTTTACAGTGATAATAGGAAATTAAAGTAACAGAGATTGTTTTGGCTTTACAGAATTATTTATCGCTTCCGAGTAGCCATGTGAACCGGAACTATTTTGATAACGTTTTAACCACTGGCTAGTTATGAGATTATTATTGCTCACACTTGGGCTTAGAGATTTTTCTGAACTCCCAAAAAGTATTAAACTTAGCTGTGCTACAATGATTGTTGATAATTCAAATCCTTATATTATATTAATGTAAATACATAAATAAATTCACATTTATATACAATTTTTTTTTTTTTTTTTTTAAAGGACGTTTAGCATTTCTGTTTTGTAGGGATGGGCTTTTTTCCCCAAAAATATTGTATTTAAATATTTGGACTCAAAACAAATATTGATGACTAAATCGAGATTAACGATAAAGTCGTAAATTTTTATTCATTAAGTTTTTCTCACCATATCTGAACAAGCTTATGATTATAGGCAATGTACTGTACACAACAAGCGTACACTATATCTTGAGGTTTTCCTTCAGTTGAAAACATTAAGCAATGTGGGTAAACAAAAATATACATAAAAGCATTTAAGCTCAAGCAGAGTGAACGAAAAAACGCTAATAAAGCGGACTGCGGCAATTATCATACAGAACGTACATTTACACTCGAGTCAGAATATGGTTATCGAGTTTATACTGTTTCAAATGTTCATGTTGAGAAAAACAAGAATATCCACATGCTTGGGTGAAAGTTGGCTCCTCTGTCTGATAACAGTGAAGCCCAATTTATACATCTGCGTCGAACTCACGCCGTAGCTACGTCGTAGGCTGTGTGTTGCACGTGTAGTTAATTTGTTAATTAATTTGATCAAAAATAATTAAATTTTTTAAGATCATTTTGATCAAAGTAATTCCAGGGATCGTACACATTTTTATCAATAAATTCCCATGACTTTTGAGGCAATATTCATGAACTAATCTTCCATGAATATCTATGTATACATAAAATTAAAATAAAAACTACAATAGAAAAAAAAATACATGTTCCAATTTATCATAGCATATCTTAACTAAAAGTAATGACTATTAATGCCATTTGTTAGCTTGGTATTTGTTTTAATAATAAGTCCAAGCTGCGACTGTGTGCTGATGTTACTCCACGCAGAGAACAATGTCAGGTGACTGAATGCTAATTGTTAAGTATTGTTAGTGTTTAACCAATGTTATCAATTAAACCAAGGCCCCCTTAGGTGACTTCATTTTTGTAGACTTTTTTGTATTATTATTATTATTTAAAGGGCCAGTAGGTGATCTGGAAAATGCTAATGTTAGCCTGCTAGCATACAATCCCACCCTCCCTGTAAATCGCTGTCCAAAGCCACACCTCCTCCAAATCACATGAAGGCACACACACACAGCACACACACACACCTGCTCTCAGCAAAGCGTCACAAGAGACGGTGTTAAACTACCTCATGTCTCAAAGCACATAACATTACAATAAAAATGAACATAGCTCATTGAGCTCGTTGTTTTGGAGGAACTGTAAATGGTGGCTGCTGTTTGTTTGCGGTGCTCTGTGACTGACATCTGTCTGTATTCTGCACAGCATTAAACGCACTGATGATGTATGTTAGATGCTAGTTAAATGATGTTAGATGCTAGACCGGTTTTAAAATTTCATTTCCAGGTTTTTCACGACCGTACGAACACTGCAACTTGTTCACATGCTCCACAGCGGCATTTAGTTATAACTGTGCGTTTTAGTTTGCGTTCTTAGGATTTATCATGGAGTCACCTTATTTTTGGCCAGCAAAGCAACGTGTAGCAAAATTATTACAGATTAAATATTCGACTATTTGTGCAGTACACACCCCTATTGTTTTGCAATGCTATTGATTTTATTTGTCAAAAATATCCTTAATGTAATATCCCTAGTCCAAATATGAGATTTTTTTTTAAAACATGCCCCAAATAAACATCCAAGATACCAGCACTTACTGCATTTCCACACACTCACTGCTT